GGCCCCTCCGGCAGGGAAGGGGGGTCGGTCATGTGGAAAACCCGGGCTTGTCACCCCTCCCGAGCGTGAGGAGTAGTTGTGAGCGTGTGGTGGTGCCTCCGAAATTCCGGGTCTGTGTTTTGGCCGTGGCAAAAGAGACCGCTGCAAAGTAAGGCAGGATAAACTAGTCTTACTCGCCGCCAGTGTGCAGTGTGTGTAAGCAACCGGGGTGTAAACCTTTAGAAAGACTATTCACCAAGGACTGCAGGCAGAAGAGACTTATTTTCTTATAAGGGAAGCAAGAGAGGGACACGGGATGTTATGTCTGATTAAGCGTTTATGACTCTTAGGTCCGTATTAGCTCAGGCCGAGATTGCTTCCGTCAGTCTGTTTGAAACTGTCTGCATAGAAATTCTTCTAAAACTCTCAGGTTTCTCTCTCTTTTTGCTATACTGGCTTCAATAGCCTGCATATTGGGTAAAGCTCATCTAGGAGTGCAGTTAAACGAGGGAAGTCTTCAGTCTAGAAAGGGCAAAGTTCAGCTGAGGTTTTAGTACATGGCCTGCAACTTAAAGTAAGTTGGAATGGTAGGATGCATGAGTGATGCTGGAGGAGAACTTTATTCATTTCCATGTTCTCGTGGTTTTGATCTACCATATTGTTATGTGCATAAAACAACGAGTAAGGTTTTCATAATGCTGCTTGGTGTTATTATTATTTGTTACAAACACTGAACAGGAAAGAACCTGTGATATTCAGAATCAGTAGCCAGCTAACAGCTGATAAAAACTGTTTTGCAGTGGGAAGAATCCTTTCCTGTGGAGGTGCCTGTACTGGCACACAAATGATGTTATTACCCACCTAAAATTAACATGGAAAACTGTTTAAAATAATTTTAAACTCCTCTGCAGCAGCTATCAACCTTTCTCAAGAACCCATGGTTTTCCGTCATGTTGGTCAAAACCTGATATAGTCATACTCCAACTTCATACAAAACCTGCTTTGAAAGTTTTCCTATTTATAGTTCTTAAAGGAGTGCACTCAGGAGAAAGTTAACATCTTACTTACAAACCGATAGACATTAACCATAACTCGCAGTCTGCTTTTGCAGCGTAAGCAAGAATTTAAGCTCATTTTAAAATGCAGCCCCAGCTGTGTGATATTTGCCTGATCTTGTGGCTCTCCTCATGTGTTACTGTTGTGAGCTGTCTCATGAGTACATTCATTGTGCTTAGTTCAGCACTTCTCTGTTTCTCTCTGTCCTTGATGTTTTTGTCTTTGCATTCTTCAACATCTGTAAAGTATAAGATAAAGGGAATGATCAAGCCCCACTTCTTTTCTTATCAAGATCTTTTCTCCCTCTCTGCCTTTTTTCTTCTTCTGTTCTTTTGCAGAATTGTCAGTATCTGTGACAGGATACACCCAACTCAAGTGTGAAAGCAAAATTTTGTCCAGCAGTCACTTCTGTGCTGAAGCATTAAATTACTCTGAAGCTGCTCCAGCTGGTACTGGATCTGTACACGATCACTGTTCACTCAGTGAGTGAATTAGTAATGAAGCAGCATGGTGGGAGTACTTACTAACAGCAGAAAAGCAGGAATCTGTGACAGAACTGCCCTTTGTTGAAAATTGTGGCAAGTTCTATAGGTAAGTAAAGCTGTAAAACTAGGCTGGTTTGACCATTCTTGGATTGTAGTGGGTTTGGTGCATGTATAGGTTGAAGAGGTACAAACCAGCCATACTTCAATAACTCTTCTTTTTCTTCTTCATCCTTGTAGCACTTTTATTCAGTGATTAAATTCAAGACATGGGGCCAATGAAATATAAGTCCAGTGTGTCCTCGGTGTCCTGTGGTCTGCAGTACCACCACTCGTTGATAAAGTGGAGTCCAAAAATGAATGTCCACATAGTGCGGACTTACGGCTCGTCGGCGCCCAAGAGGCCTGAGGCCAAGTCTGCCCTAGAAGTGGCCTCAGCTCTTCTGAATCGACTGACAGAGGCTGGGGCTGTGATGGGAAAGAACTCCCTTCAGAAGATGTCTGCGACCTGCAAGAGCTGGTGGGACAGATATGAGGAGTTTGTTGGAATTAATGAAGTTCGAGAAGCTCAGGGAAAAGTGACAGAGGTAAATGTGGAGACAGTGTGGACACTTACAACTCAGGAGTTAAGCTCTACGAAGTATAAACAGTGGCTGTGAGGCAAAAAAGATCCTCCAAGGAGAATCATGTCTATGTTTTGCTTTGCCTGTGTGCAGATTCTGTGAATGTATTCTACTCTGTGCATGTCTGTAAATACAGCTTATCCCTTAGATTGAAATGGAGTGTGGTTTGTTTTGTTGGGGTTTGGTTTTTTAGTCCCCCCAGAATTCATAATAGTGATTTAGATGTGTCTGGTAATAGTGTCTAAAAGAAATACTCTTTTTTCTCAGGCTGAAAATGTCTTTATGATAGCTCGGGGGATAGTACGAGAGGCTCGTGAAAATGTAGAAGCCCAGCAGATTAAACTGAAGGAAATTCGGGACCGCTTAGACAGGGTCTCACGGGATGACACCCAGTATTTAGAACTGGCCACACTGGAACACAGGTTGCTGCAGGTAACTTGGAATTTGTTGGTACTTGAGCACTGGCAAATATGATGAAAATCTGTGCTTTGTTTCCATCACTAGTGGTTGTTTTTGTAGGTGCAGCTCAGGTCTGAAGTACAGTGGTCTCAATTATGATACTTGTCTGAAGTTCTTGTTGATGGTTTCATCTGTGCTGATTGTATATATTAATGTGACAATGGTATAGTAAATTTGGAGAAGAAAGCTGAAGATAGCCAAGAAAATGAATTCTAGTGGTGATCTGTACATGAGTAGTGAACAAAACCCTGGGATTCAATTAATTAATCTTCTGTGTAATGAGAGAAGCTCATTTCTGGTTGTTAATCCAGGAAGACTCTCAGCTGCCTTCTATGTGGCTGTGACACCCAGGCAATTCAGGAAAGCTTTTGTCAGAGAGCAGCAAGAACAAGGCTGCTCTGTGAGAGGGGGCAAACAGGAAGGTGGAGGCGGGAGCAGCTGAGATGCTGCTGCAGGGCAGTCCTACAGCAGCACCTCAGCTGGATGAGCCAAGCAGAGCTAGTGACAGGGACATGTTTATTGACAGTCCATCAGAGATAAAGACAAGGTGGCAGCCAAAGTCAATCCAGGAAATCCAGATGAACCCACAAGAACAGCAAGGAGGAGGCTGGAAGCAGGTATGCCTGTGGCAAAACTCAGGCAAGGAGCGGGTTCCAAGGTCTGAGTTTAAACTGAGCTCCTGGATCAGTGGGTGCAACACCAGGAAAGAACTAGGGAGCTGAGGTATCTAAATAAGGGATCAGGTCTGTGTGGGTGAGATAAAGATGACTAGAGCTCTGCATGACTGTGAGGAAAGGTAGAACTCCAGTCACTGTTGTCTGCAAGGTGATGGTACCATTTTATGAAAGAAATACACGCTTGAAAAAAGAAAAATTCTGGGAGATCCAGGGAGAAAGGGAAGACATTTGTCTGCAAACAGGGTAAGAAAGAGAATGGGGAGGAATAAGAAGTGTATATGGTGATGAGATGAACCTACCTGAAACATCCTTTTCAGTCCTGATTTCAATTCCCACTTAAGGGATTTGGAACTGAGGGAGAAGTGTGGTAAAGGTGGTGTTTGGAGAAGTAAGCAGGGCTGAAAGAGCATAGGTGGGGAGAGAAAGATCTTGCTCATTCATACCTCATTTCTGTCATCAGCATGTGACAGATTCTCGTGTTGTGGATCTTCTCCTGCTGACCTTTTCCATTTCTCAGTTTTGACTTAAAATGATGTCTCCTTGACTTAAGTAGGATTAATAAAGAAAATCCCACATTATAAGGGAAATTCCTGAAACAGAACTAATGGATGTTCACAGTTTCCATTCCTTTATCAGCACTGGGGCTTTGGGTTTGGTTGTGGAAGATTTTTTAGTGAAGTCTTTATAGCTTCATATTATACCTTCTCCTTCAAGTCACTGTATTTCTTGCAGGAAGAGAAGAGGTACCGAGCTGCGTATTTAAATGCAGAAGAATCTGAGAGAGAAAAATTCTCACTCTTCTCTGCAGCTGTAAGGGAAAGCCACGAGAAAGAGCGAACAAGAGCTGAAAAAACCAAGAACTGGTCTATTATTGGTTCTGTACTGGGAGCCATTATAGGTGTTCTTGGTTCCACCTATGTTAATCGAGTGAGGCTGCAAGAATTGAAAGTCTTGGTACTTGAAGCACAGAAGGGCCCAATGAATTTGCAAGAAGCCATTAAAGAACAGGCCTCCAGCCACAGCTTACAGCAGAAGGATCTCAGCGATGTCATAGCAGACCTGAAAAGTGTGCTGCAAACAAGGACATCACAGGAACTGAAAGAAGGTGCTTTGTTAACTAAAGACAAGGGTGACTCCATAAACATAGATGCTCTTTTAATTCCTTTAAACGAACAGCTCAACTACACTAAGCAAGTCAGTTCATGTCTAGGGAGTTTAGAACAGCAGTTTCGCAGTCTGCAGGAAAGTGTAGTACAAATGGTTTCTGAGATGCAGAGTGTTAAACTTGCAGTTCATGCTAGAACAACGGAAAGAGCCATGCCAAGGTCTTCAGCAGAAGGTAAGGGCCAGGCTTCTGCTGTGAGAGATGTGATTTTAGAGCTGTGTGATACTGAGCGGAGACTGGAAGCACAAATCAAGAGGAATTCTATTTACAGCACTGCACTGACATGTGCTGTGTTTGCTATTACCCTGCCAGTACTCTACATTATACTCAAGGGGAACTGATCTCTAATTTACTAGATTAATAAAAGTGAACCTGCACTCTTAAGTACTCAGAGTACAAGGCCAAATAAAGTGTTAGCATTTCTCATTATGCTTTCTCCTATGTGTCCGGGAAACTTGTAAAGACTTAGTGCAGCCACCACTGCAGGCTCCACGTTAGCAGCCCTTGTCATGCGTTGTAGGTTTTAACTGCAAGCAAAGGAAATACCACAGTTTCATCTGCTGATTTCATTCACTGCTTTGCTCTTTCACTGTCTACTCTGGCATATCATGGCCAGTCAGTGGCTTTCAATCTGGAGCTGTATTTATGATGTTTTGCTCAAATGATTCTTTTAATCTGTCATTGATCTGAGTGCTTCCTGTGTAATCCTTTCTGATTTTGCTTCTGATTTCTTCAGTTTTGCAGTTTGTCCACATACAAACCATTAGGAGTCATTTTACCAAATGGGTAGAAATATTGGCCTTGAATTCTTTGGTTTGGTTTTTTTGGTGGTTTTTTTTTTTTTTTTTTTTTTAATAATAAATTCTAGATATAATGCAGTGACAAGGTGACAAAGAGCAGGGGCCATGGAAATGAGGATTAAGGATACCATGATACAATGTGGCTCTACAGCCAGGTGGTGCATTTAAAACACATTTCAGTTACATGTGGTAACATTTTCCAAGGGGGGTGTTATCATGAAATACCCAAAAGCATTTCTGGAGCTTCAGCTACTTGTCGCTGCTAGAACTGGCTTGCAGACGGGGAAAGAGAAAAAGGATTCAGGTACAGGATGTATTAAGTATGATGATGTTAATTCTGCCAGTGCAAGCCAATTATCCTTCCTCTACAGACTCCTTAACCCATCATTCCCCAGGTATTTTGTGGCTTTAGTAATCATCTATGGAGCAATCACTTTCTTATCCCTACAAGTATCTCAATGGAATTCTCTCTGGTATTTAGTCTTTCAGTTTTGTCCTGTCAGGCAGTTGCTACAGGAGGTGCTTGTAAACCAGTATGTTAATGGTAATAGCATTATGCAAACTACTATTGCAGATTAATATTTGGAATAAAGTAAAAGCTGCCTGTTTTTTCCTGGAAGGATGAGGAAAGGCTGATTGGGGAAAAAACACTTGTCTAAACAGCTAAGCATCAGTATCTGTGTGTGGCCTCACACATAGTTGTTGGTATCACTGTGATAAGAGAGAGTTCTCTCCCAGCAGATAAGCAAATCAGATGTGGAACTCCTGCTCTGAGACTTGTGTGGAAGCTTCGCAGGCAGAGGAGCAGCAAGCTCGCTTCACACTGAGCTGCCTTTGGGTGAGCATTTCAGAATGACTAAATTGTGTTTAGCATCCAGTCTGCTATGACTGTATCAGCTCTTTCTTCTGCCTAGTAACCATGATAAGAGTTTCAGGTTTTGATTATAAGCTCCTAAGACTGAAAGATCTTTGGGATGGCGACATTTGCTCTATGACACTTCATTTGGTGTCATTAGGTGCTCTTATAATATGACCAAATAAACAATATTGGGAAAGATCTGTGCTGACTCACTACCTGTGAGAGAGATGAAGTACACAGAAGGTGGTTTGGGGAAGGACCACTGCTGGTCTATATATTGATTATTCAGAGTGTAACATGAATAACATGCATTTGTCAGGGAAGTAGTTTGATCTGATGGCTTGAGAGCTGGGATAGGAATTCCCATACACCCAGCCACATCAAGAAGTATGCATACAAATCAGAACCATTTTTCAAATCTATCCTATTTCACAAATATTCATACAGGTTAACTTCTTGTAGGAGCTTGATGAAAATCAGAGACAAGTGTGTGACTAGAGGGGAAGGGCTAGTGCAGTCCTTCCAGCTGTCATTTGCCAGCACTAGACACCAAGAATTTTGTTCTGGTTTGTTTCTCTTCAGTTTAACTATGTGACATTGGGTTTACATGTATGAGCATGGTTTTTAAATGCTGAATATCAGGCAGCCTCACTGAATTGTACTTGGTGGCATAAAAAATGAGTAGAGGTCTGAGGCTGAACTTGTACACAATAAATAAGAGAATACAAACTCAAGGGTTGCTTATTGGTGTAAAGACATCTGCTTTTTACCCATTTAAAGAAGATATGATAGTAGGTAACTTTAACATTACACAGAGTTATGGGAAGAATAAGTCAGTCAATGAGAACAGGAGCAGAGATCTGTTTGCTATCATGATAAATGATTGTTTGAAACACACAGCCTGCAATTTGAGAGGAGCTGGAAGGTATGTATCCGGAAAATCACTGGATCTCATCCTTCACAGGGAGTTTCAAAGGTCCAGGAATACGTTCTGTGTGCAGTGTTGTACAGCTGGCAGAATTCATTGTTACAAGCCATTACTGGGGTTCTTTTATTTCTGCCCTTCCTTGCAAAATCCTCATGTGAAGTGACAGCAGAGTAATTTCAATTAGGATAAAAACCTTGTAATTAGCTGTGCCTGTATAATAATTAGGAGGGCAGCTTTGTATATTCCCTCAATCCTGGATTAATCATCACTCCATTGTGGCAGTGTTTTCAGGCAGACCTTGGTGCTGCTCTATGCTTAGCCCACAGCCAGAAGGTGTGGCTGAGCAGTAAGAGCAGTACCTGAGCCAGCCGAAGGCAGTGTGCAGGAAGGTGCTATAACACAGTCTATACATGCAATCCGTTCAGTGCTTTATGCTAAATCTCTGTTATGGTAACACAGGCTGCAGATAGACAAGTTAGAACAAACAGGCACAGCTGTACAGATGTGTTTGAGCACTCAGCCAGTTCAGGTGCCTTTGCAGTACCAGCAGTGATCTGCACAATGCACAATGACAGCTCGGTGCATGTTTCCTGGTGATTCAGCCATGGCTCAATGAATGCTTTGTTGCTTCTGCTCTTCTGGGCTATTTTAGTGTAAGAAAAAGTGTTCTGTGGCATACCTATGCATTATTAACAAAGTTTATAAGAGGTGAGTTTCACTTTTGGAATGAAGTCTCTCAGCTGAAGCTTTCTTCAACAAGAAAGTTCTGCTCAGAAAGGCCTTTTGATACTTAAATTCATGCTCTTTCTGCGAGCAAAGGCTTTGCTTGGCAGGATGGTTCAGTCAACCCTGTGCCCCAAACACTCGTCAGCCAGTGGGGATGGTGGCTGCAGAGTTTGTACAGGTCTAGTGAGGCTGGGAACTGACCTATGCATCACATATAGGTCAGAGAAAGCCAGTGCTGACTCAAGTTAATTCTAGTAGCAGTCAAGTCACAGAAGATAAAGAGGGAACCCAGTAAGAGCAACAGGAGGCCCTTTGATAGACGTGAACTACAGAAGAACGGGTGGTGGTGGCCTGAGCTTGGCCCATGCTAAGCTATTTTGAGTTCTAACTGCTCCACGAGAAACCACTAGTGACTGAAAAGCAAACAGGGTAGTGGCCATGGAAATAACTTCTAATGAGGCCACTGCAGGCTTCTAACAGTGGGTGCATTCTGAAGAGCAGAGTTGCTGTTCCTTCCACTCAGGAAAGGAAAGGCAAATGTTGCTTATGAATTCAGGACAAAAGCAATTAAATGTAGTGTCACCATCAGGTTATGTATATATATGTATTCATTAATGCTTGAGTTTTGAATGTTCAAACATTCTAAGCCTGGTCAGAAGCTGGAGGTGCTCCAGTTGATTTCACTGTAAATATCTGTCTGGAAATGACAGTTTCTTTCACAAAATACCTTCTAAAAACAAACACTTCCTTGTTTGTTCAAAAGCAGATCCTAAAACATCAGCAGGCTGCTGCTGGCAAAACTGTAGGTTCCCAAATGAGGGTGACAGAGACCTTAATGTTTTTAAATGTTCTGACAAACTGAAAACTTGAAAGGAACAGAGTCAGATTTAAAGTAGAGTGGATGTAGCCAACTTTCTGTCCCTGAATTACTGCTGTAAATGCAGTTTATTCTCAGAAGCTGTAGACAGTATTCAGATATCCCTCATGACTTTCTTCACCCTTCTCATCCCCTGCTTGGAGGGGGGGAAGAGTAAGAAGAAAATGAAAAGCAGCATAAGCTGCTGCTAACCTTGTGATTATCATAATAGTTACGTAAGAAACTCAGCGAACCTGCTTAGAACCAGACATGAACAAGGGCTTTTGTAGAGGAGGATCCTTTATGGATTTAAATATCTTTTAAAAAGCTTATAAGAAATGGAGATCAAAAACTGTTTAAATTTGTTCCTCATTATGTTTGTTCTTTGTGTGATGCTGTTCTGAGCTGTGTAATGTTTGAGAACTAGGTTTTTTCTGGTTTGTTTTTAAGAACTGTGAAAGATTTTTGTGCAGGTCTGTCAGAACTCCTCCCTGAAGGAGGTGGGTATGGATATGGTGGATATGTGGTATCTGAATATGATATACCTGAATGTGTGAGCCTGTGGTGGTTATACAATATCCTTGTCACTCCAGAGGGCTGGGAGTGCAGTAAGAGGAATAGGAGAGGAGCACTGTAATGTGACCAGAGCTCTTCCTGCCCTGCTGCCAAGGCAGACCCTGCAGCCAGCCCCCTGTGCCCACTCTGCTATGGGACGGAAGGAAAATCCACTCTTTTCCAACGTGCTCTCCTGGCACTTTTTGCTGCTTTTTAAGTGGTGCTTGCTGGTGTTTTTTGCCAGGCAGAAGGGGCTGCAGGTTGGGACTGGCTGTGGAGGAAGGGCAAAAAGGGGATTAGTATTTTGAGTCAGGAATGAGTTGGAGCAAAGAAAAATTGGGGGATTTTTTTAATGCTCTTAGTCACCCAAACTGGATTTTGGTGGAAGCAATTTGAGTGCACTTAAAATGTCTCTCACTAGTGAGATGATAATACTCTGTTCAGTGAACTTGAACCTGAAGAGCAATTCAGAGGGTAGGGTGTGGTAATAGAATGGGGTTTCCTGTGTGTGGAGAGGAGCAAGTAATAGATCATCTCCTCATGAAAGTCCTCCTGGGCTCTGTGTACAGTGGGCCCCAAGGACCTCTCAGCATAACGTTGTGCCAAGGAGCAAAGGT